ATTACAGGAGGCACGTTCTTTCATTCGCGGAAATAGCGAAACCAATTACCCGCCTCACCAGCAAGAGCCCATTCGAATGGAATGCAGGCACCCAGGCGGCATCCGAGCAACTAAAAACGCTGCTCGTGACGACACCTATCCTGCGGTTCCCAGACTTCTCAAAACCGTTTATTTTGATGACGGACGCGTCAAAATATGCTGTCGGAGCGGTGCTATCTGAAGTCCATGACAGACTTGAACACCCAGTAGCCTACGCAAGCCACCAGCGTAATTCGGCGGAGCAGAAGTATGGCGCGACTGGACAAGAGTGTTTGGCCGTCGTTTGGACAGTGCGTCACTTTAGGTGTTACTTGTACGGTAGGAATTTCCGAATTGTTACCGACTGTCAACCTCTCAGGTGGCTCATGAACGTGAGGGACCCTAGCTTGAAACTGGCGCGCTGGAACTTACTCCTTCAGGAGTACAGCTTCGACATCGTACATCGCCCAGGAAAGCGGAACCAAAACGCCGATGCGTTAAGCCGTGTGGGTGTGGCGGGTGTGGTCGATTTCACACCGTCGTCTGATGAAGCTCATTTCCGTGAGGAACAGGGTAGGGATCAGGCACTTCAACAGGTGATCTAGCAATGCAAAAACTCCACAGACAGCACCTGTGGGAGGTATCGGCTAGACAGCGCTGGACTATTGAGACTAAAGGAGGGAAGTACCGCAGACGTCAAGAAAATCATCGTACCGAGATCGATGGTCGGCGAACTGATAAGAGTACACCATGATTCACCTTGTGCCGGACACCTGGGAATAAGGAAAACCCTGTTGCGATTGAAGAAGATATTTTTTGGTTAGGGATGAAAGCAGACGTGGTCAAATACTGTAGCAGATGCAAGTCGTGTATTCTCCGGAAGGTACCGAAGGGTCAAAAACAGGCTCCACTTCAAATATTCTCTGATGTACACGAGCCGTTTCAGAGAACTGCGATGGATATTGTGGGACCGCTGCCATGTACGACGTCCGGAAATGGGTACATCTTGGTCTTTGTTGATCACCTGACTCGATTCGCGGAAACATTCACGCTGCCAGACCAGAAGGCGGACATGACCGCTAAGGCATTCGTCGAGGGCATAGTGTTGCGTTATGGCGCCCCGTTGCAACTCCTCACAGACCAGGGCACCAACTTCAGTGGTAAACTCATGAGGGAGGTATGTGACGTGCTTGGTGTGAAGAGGCTACGAATGACCGCCTACCACCCGCAGTGAAACGGAGCTGTCGAACGCCTAAACCAAACACTCGTTGGGATCATGTCCCACTATGTGAGCGAGGACCAGCGGGATTGGGATAACTGGCTCCCGTTCGCGACTTTCGCCTATAATACCGCCGTCCACCAAGGCACAAAGGACAGTTCTTACTACCTCCTGTTTGGCAGGGACCCCGTCGTGCCCGGGGCGGCTTTCTGTGAACCAAAGGGGCACTACGGCACACTCGATGACTACCGCGCAGAGCTACCACAGAGGCTTCAGCGAGCTCACAACATGGCTTCATCCACGCTCCGTTCTGCGGCATAGTTGCGTAAAAAGAGGCTTGGACCTTTTCGCAGGGACCCGAAATTTAAAGTTGGAGAGAGAGTTTATATCAGGGTCGGCGCGGTCGTGCGAGGACTGGCCAGGAAGTTAGCCGCCAAATGGGTTGGACCGTATCGGATCATTGAGCGCCTTTCGTCCGTCACCATGCGCGTGCGTAACATCAAAACGCGCGAAAGCAAGGTCATCCACGTAAACAGGCTGTGACGAGTGGATCCCTCGGGACGCACCGAACTTGAGCAAAGCAGCCGACCAGAGTCCTGGACACGGTCATCCGGCAGTCCAGCTGTCGTGGCAGGTAACGCGAACATGCCTAACATACCCCCGGAACTGCTGCTGGAGTTAGTACTACACGAGCAGCCGCAGCGACCCGTACGTCCAGCAGGCGCCACGGGTCCTAGATACGCCCTTAGAAGCCACGGTCCTGTCCCCGATCTACCTTAGATTAGGAGACAATGCTATGGCCCACCCATAGAGCGGACGAACAGGTAGGCAAGAGGCGAGCCGGGATCTTGGGCCACCTGCTATGTCGGGGTCATAAATGTACATGGTGATTGTTATTTTGATCCCCACGTTTTCACCCATATCCTACTTTCATTACTTTTCTGTGAGCACTGTGTTGAAGTTTTTCGCCCCTCGTGGATTTTGTTTTTGATCCCCATGTTTTCATCCATATCCTACTTTCATTACTTTTGTGTGAGCACTGTGTCGAAGTTTTTCGCCCCTCGTGGATTTTGTTTTTGATCCCTATGTTTTCACTCATATCCTACTTTCATTACTTTTGCGTGAGCACTGTGCCAAGGTTTTTAGCCCTTCGGGGATTTTTTTTTCTTTGCTTATAGACCTGTTTCGTTTCAAAGATTGGATTTCGAACAGGGCATGTAGATCATTTGATTAGTGTGGCTTTGTGTTACTCGTAATATCTGATGTTGGCCTCTGAGCGAATGATGTGCCTGGAACCGATTGCACCTATGGCATAGGGGAGGAACATAGAGTTAGTGAATGTGAGATTACCTAGACCTTGCCGCGTGTCGGAGAGAGGGTGCGAGGGGGACTGGTCTGGGAACGGTGTGGTTTAGATAGACAGGATATGTGACTGGCATCTGTGGCCCAAACTAGGCAGATTATGCGAGGCGGTTGGTCGAGATACCTAAATAGGCACTGCACAACAGGTGATGAGATGACACAAGATAACAGACAAGCTACGGCGTTTTCCCTACACAATAGTGTCGTGCCTCGAAAGGAGGCGGGGAGGGCTGGTTTGTGGGACGAGATGAAGCAGCCCCGTATCGACGAGGCAAGGTGAAAGTTCAGATTGAAATGGTTTCACGGCGTCTCCCCGCATGGAAGTGTCGCACCTCGTTAGGAGGCAGGGGGCGTCGTGATCGGTATTGATGTACAACGCCCAATGTCACAGTAGCATAGGACAGCATATACGCTGCGTTCTCAGCCATTCCGAACACGCAAATCGCGTTGAAGGTCCCTTTCCCCCACTGACAGGTGCGTGCAGCAGAGGCCGGGCAGGAGATGGTATGCGAAGGTAATTCAGTGCATATTCAGAATTCAGATTCAATGCATATTCAGATTCAGAACATAGGTCATACTGCCTGTGTGACCTATGTTCTCCCGCCTTCCCGCTTTTCGTCTGGTTTGAAATGTTCGAGGTCTTAAAATTTTGTGCATGTGTGAAATGAAAGTGTATTGAAATGTGTGTATTCTCTGTTCGGTTGTGCCGAGAGTGGACAGTGCAGGCGAAGTGTGTGATGTGCTCGCATGGTAGTGAACCTTCCGCATTCATGACTAACGCTGCGTCCCAAACCATCCAACGAGCAGCTGTGACCAGTGTGCGTTTTGTCCACGCGTCATCCACAAGTTTCTGCAGTGATTCTGAAGGTTTCAAGTGTGTTGTGCACGGTAGAAATATAGAATCAAACTGCTTCGTGGTGGGTGATGATTCAGCGACAATCACAGATTGGTTCCTCCAGCGACGCGCCACCGCCACGGCTGAATCACAGGTGTAGTGCGTTCGCATATCATATACCTAAGACCGCCGCAATGTCTCAATTTCGCTGCGCAACCCGAAGGCGTTATGCGCCCGCATTTCTCGTGTTTGAACTTCCCCGCTATGAAAATTCTTGTGTAAGATGAAGGGATTGTGACGTCCCCGCAAACACGGACTAAACCCCGCTCCTTTCAAGATGTGTACGCTTGTTTCTCAAACCCACGCACAAAAAAAAGGAAAAGAAAACCTTCGGTGTAACGAATGGGCATTCCGGAGTGAAGTACCAGAAGGATTATTTCTACTATTTTCACGGGCTCCCCAGCGCAAACACGAGGACCGGGCGGCGCCTTGTCATCTACAGACCGTGTGACAGTGTACGGTGGAGATAATCCGCGCGCACCCTTCAAATTTGTGGCATGGGAGAGCAGCAGAGCACCTTTTGTTGGTTCGGGGAATGCGACGCTGCCGCAGCGCCTGTGCCGGGTCCAGTATGACTTTCCGTCAGCCTCCGTGGCTCCAGGGCTCATTACGGCTTTCTGCGCGGATGGCCACTCGCGGCGGCTACGGAGAATTTCGCGGGAGACACCGAGCTGCATGGAAACGTTGAGACTCGGTCTGGACATCGGCTCACCAAGTACCGGAAGCATCGGGACCATTGTTCGCCCGTAATTAAAGTGTCTTGGGACAGCTCGCTCATCTCTCTCTCCGAGGCTTGAGTTTGTATATTGTTACTTGCTCGGCTTTGTTTGGGAGAGGGTTTTCTACTGGCGTAGGCCACGGGGGCGGCCGCTGAAGATGATACACTCCGACTGAGAAGAAAATATGTTGCGTGGATAGCGGGGATTGGTTTGATGCCCCGGTAGGGCAGAGTGAGAACCCGAGAAAAGCGGCCTTGTGTCAAGGAAGGGGAGAGGTGAGGAGAGTCTTTCCCAGGGGAGAAAAAGAAGTAGACGGCGACGGAAGGGGACAGATCGGACGGCGACGCGAAGAACCAACCTTCGGCCCCGACTCGAGCAGCCAACTCCGAGGCTCCGACTACATGGACATTCTGTGAGACGAATTTCACCTCCTTCACTTGAACGAGCTTTGCGGGAAGAAATGCGGCATATTGAGACATTGCACGGTTTTATAAATTTATTACTTTATCATTTGTGTTGTCGTATGTTTACTCTGTATTGAGGCACCGTTGTATTGTCACCGTTACTCGCTTATGTATCCTGTTTCACGCGTCGCGAGTATTTGCTGATGTGTTACCATTTCGTGTAACAGAGATGTCGTTCACCGACAATATGTGTGTACGCCATTTGCATTTGTTATTCAATTAAATGCGTCCATGATTAAGAAAAGATCGTGACGTCTCTTACTTCCCGGCCCCAGCACGAATCCCTGTATGTGGAAAGTGATTGAGACACGTAGCCAAGAGGGAACCGGATAAAAAGGGGGCTGAGGGGTCTTCCCTCTCTTTGGCGATCGGTGGCGTAACGGGGGACGTCTCACCGTGTTGCTGGAAAGCCGCACCTCCCTTTTTTGTGGCCAACTGCACGTAGGACAGAAGGGAAGATGTAAGAAGGAATGCCTTCGCACGCATCTAAACATCAATATTAACAAACTCACATCCTGCTATTCTCTGCAAAGGCTGCACCTGCCAAGTCTGCTTGAAGTTGACATAAAATGTAATACCTTGGCCGAAGAGTTACAGGAGGCAACGTATATAAATGAGCAGAAACGTGTGTGAGCTAGCTGTCAAGGGTCCCACTTAACAATACTCGCCCGCTTAAAGTGATCACTTTTCTCTTAGTTTGCTGCTATTGTACAGTAGAGAATGCTGAAAAGGCACATGAACATTGAAAGCAGGTACAAACAGAGGCTTGACTTCCACATAAAAATGCGTATGTATTCGTACAAACGTCCTTGGATAGATAATGCCTCATTCTATTCCTCAATGTCTATTCTATGTTTTGAATACTTATCCTCTACCAGTAAAAAAGTTCTCAGTTCTTATGATGCCAGTGATTTTCACTGCATCACAAAAAAGCTGTAAAACCCTTGTTATTTAGTTCAAGTCCTGAAACAAAACAGCACTTACTTGTGGAACCACAAGGACGTGCCTTGGCGATCTGTCCAGTACATACCCTGATAATGTTACGTATCCAGTGGTCCAGAACCAGCCCTCGAACTTGGTGAAAACACATCCTGTGGAAAGCAAGTACTACTATAAGCATTTCAGTCATGTCTAACGGATGCACACGGCTATAAGAGTTTGGAGGCGGTCCTCTAAATTGCTATTTTCACACGTGCCTTTTACTCATACCGATCTAAGAATGTCAACATTGATAAGTATTTGAAGATTTCAAGCCTACTGGCTTTGAACACACATCGACAATTATTACTGGTCGCGCATTATTTCTGGCTTCTTTGAGGCACACAGAAAGCAAAAACAGGGGTACAAGGTCATCTGTTTAGAGTCACAATTTATTTGGTAACCAGGTGACGGGAGGGGCAAGGTTTGCTGGCGTTGCGTGCGCACAGTTGCTGCTTATTGATTTGTCAGGCACGCATAAAAGAGGTCAATCGCAGTGGTGGGGAGATCATTGCACACGCACGGGTTCATCATGACAAATTTTCGTTAACGTCACAGAATAATACACGCTGCCAGATACGCCGGCCTACAGCCCGTTTTATATGCTCACCGGAGCAAATTTGTGACAAGGTCGACGCGTCGAAGCGCTCCAGCTGATTCAGAAGAAGCTTCGTTATGCCACCGGCTGCGTGTTTACAACATTACCATGACAACGCACACAACCACGGCCACTTGATGAAAACTCGCGGTGCATCCTCATCAAGCAGCCATAACACAAAGCCACCTGAACTCAAAGAGAAGAAAGGCAACTCACCCGCGATGCCACCATGACGACACTAGTTATTCACTAGACGTTCCTAGTAACACTTCCGGGCTCGTTAGAACAGGTTGGTCATGATGAGGATTACACTTCTTTCTTGCTAGTGAAGTTTCCCATTTCGCCAAGCGAACCTTCATTGTGAACCTCAGACTGAAAGTTAGATAGCTACTTTGCAGAGAGTAGCAGGTTCTAGGTGTCACGGCCACAAATGTCTGAGACAAATCGACTCATCGGCAAGAACACAACGCATGACATTATTGTCTAATACTAAATTGGCCGACTACATCACAATTTTCTTGAGCGCGCTAACACGCTACATTTATGCATCCGCCAGCCACGCTGTGTGCATGCAATGTTGCCAACGCACTGCACGAACTCGCCAATGCTGAGCGCTCGCCCTCCATAGAGCGAGAAAACATTTCGACTCCTCAATTTGAACAAGAGCTTATAAGCTGTCGCCATAATTTGATTTGAGACTGTTTAAACATGCGTGATTCTCGAAAAAAGGCTGTGCCAAGACATGAAAGAGCTCAGGCGCACTTCACCGTAAAAAAAGGGGGCTCATTATGGCAACAAGGCAACGCAAACAACTAGAACCGGCTGATACTGAGGTTTAATCGTAGCAGAAATATAAAGAGGAAAACGCGAGGGAAAATAGGGTTACAAGGGGAAGGGCGAACCTAAATCAGATGTCAATCAGAAACGCAACCTAACAATCTAAAAGTAATACGCAGGTTGAACTGACCCATATATGAGCGTTCTTCTTTATTAAAAAGGCTTCAGCGTGTTTTCTCTAGTCTTCGTGTTACGGTGGGCGTACAAAATAGAAGGGCGTGGAAATGCCGGTGCGCAACCACACTTTGTGCAATGGGCAGACAAGTGCAAACTTTGTGCGGACTTTGCGGGTCGCAATTCAATGTACTCTCACAAGCGCACATTGAGTCAGTGTCCACTGCTGCAAGACAATTGTATGCAATAAACAGCTATCCTTCAAAAGCTAGAAAAATTCTTGACCTGCCTGACACCACGACCTTTTTTGATGGGGCCAATCTTGTAGATGTAGATGTAGATCCTAAACTCTTGGCTTACACCAACCCTGGGGGATGGGCCCAAGAAGCAGGAAGCTTAGAAAAATTACAGGCGTAGAGCTGGTCTGTCTTTTTTGCTCTTTTTGTAACGAGGATGAAACAATTAAGCATTATTTTTCATCGTGTAGCCGCTTCAATTTATTGAGGAAAAACATTCTTGAAGAGGCTCAATAAAATCAGAGTAAATTTTATTATTTCAACATGCTCCTTGGGAGCATCCTCATGAGGTCGTTGTCACCAGATATCAGTTCCACTGCAGAGATACTGTTAATAAATTCAGAACTGTTTTGATCGGAAATCTCTAAATTAGTAAAATTGTTTTTGTGACCATTTTAGAATCCATTAGATATAAACTTAATATATATGTGATTCCTTCTATATGATTATCTGTTTCTTGACCAATGTCCCAGAGTGAATGTGAGGCCTACATATAGGCCTTCATCATCATCATCCTTCCTTGGGGTCGAAAATATTGCACAATACCGTTGACATGATAATGTTTGGTGCTTTGGGCGCGAGGCCCATTTGATGGCCAAGAGCTCCAGTTCATGGGACAAGAGATGTGAACAATGATTCGGATTAGCGGCTGTATAGGGGCCTTGAAATTCCTCGCGATAAGGCGGGTAAAACGTAGAAGTTATAAAATCATGACATTGAGGTGAAAAGTGTGTGCAGTTATTAGACGACAAAAGTTTGTGATAATAAAAACCAAGGTGCACATGTATGGCATTAGCACTAGTTCCCCAATAGTTCACACCCTTGCGTCCAAGGGCCGTGAGGCAAGTGCTTTGTTGAGTGTAGCCACCACAGCGGAGAGCTCTCTGGAAAGGCCGTCCTACGGAACGCCCGGGTACATCCCTTGAAAGGTACGGAGTTCTCTAAAAAAATCCAACAAGGATTCATGTGTGAAAAGTGGTTCCCTACCACCGAACATTGCAGGATGAAGTAGTATCTGTTGTGGGTAGGGTAATGGAAAGTGTTTTCTCAGCGTGTCTAATTGTTTACACTGGACTAAAATGTGAAGCACGCTGAGTGCTCCTCCACACTTTACTCAAAGATGGATCGCCACCAGACAAAAGAAATGAATGTGTAGTGTATGTGTGCTCAGTTCTTAACCTTGTGAGTATTTTTGTGTGTGTGTGTGTGGCCTCGCCGCGGTGGTCTAGTGGCTAAGGTACTCGGCTGCTGACCCGCAGGGCGCGGGTTTGAATCCCGGCTGCGGCGGCTGCATTTTCGATGGAGGCGGAAATGTTGGAGGCCATGTACTCAGATTTGGGTGCACGTTAAAGAACCCCAGGTGGTCAAAATTTCCGGAGCCCTCCACTACGGCGTCTCTCATAATCAAATGGTGGTTTTGGGACGTTAAACCCCACAAATCAATCAATCAATTTTTTCTGTGTGGCGGAACTTTGATAATGGCGGCCAATGACCAGGTTGCGGCTTGATGACATGCAATTTATTACCTGTGTGTGTGTCCCATGTGCTCTACCAATAACACCTGACTTTTCGTTTAGAAAAGGTTTCAAGTCGAGTGCAGGAATCGGTATCGATGTATTGGTAGCGGCTTTGTTGGCGGATCCAGCTAGCTTGTCAACCAGAACGTTGCCTTGTATTTCGCGGTGTCCTGGCACCCACCAGACCACAACATGCTGCTTGGATGAGTAAGCTGTGCATAAGAGTAAATACATGGAGACAGGGAGAGGGATTTTGTGCTTTTTAATAGTTTTCAGAGCTTTTACTAAGCTTAGGGAATCTGTTTATGATATTGCCATCTGTAGTTTTATTTGTTTATTGTGTTTAACAGCCGCAAGTATCGCATAAGCTTCGCCGGTGAAAATGCTTGTGTCAGAGTGCAGAATGCCGGCTTCCGAAAAGAATGGGCCGGCGGCTGCGTACGAGACAGAAGTGTTAGACTTCGACGCAACCATAAAGAACTCAGGACATGTGTATTTCTGTCGTAGTTATAGGAAGTATGTCTGAATATGCGCAATTGGTGCGTGCTTAGCAACCTCCAAGAAACACACATGTCGCAATCTATCTTCTGCCACTGCCACGGTGGCAGGCATACAGCGGGAGCCATCAAACGGTGTTCAAGTGCCACACCGGTTTCCTTCGCTAGGCCCCTCACACAGAGTGAGTAGGGCTGCCTCATAGAAGGCCGTTTCTCAAACACAGCAAGGCTTGACAAGTCATTAATTGTGGAACTTGAAGGATGTTCTTTGTCTGCGTTCACTTAAAGACAATATATAAACGACATGTAACATCTCTGTGAGTGGAGCGACCATTCGTTCGATTCTACGTAGAGACTTTTCACAGGAATGGTGCAAAAAGCACCCGTGGAGAGACGGATACCTAGATGATGAACAGGGTCAAGCATTTTAAAGGCAGTAGGTGTCGAAAACTGGTATGCTATTGCCCCATAGTCTAGGCGGGTACGTACGAGTCTTTTATACAAGATCATTAGACACTTCTTGTCACTTCCCCACGTAGTGCATGACAACGCTTTCAGAACATTCATGGCTTTTATGCTCTTATTTTTTAAATACCTAATGTGTGGTATGACGGTTAGCTTGGTGTCCAAGATGACGCCTAAGAAATTGTGTTCGGTGTTAACAGAAAGGCGTTGCCCATGCAGTTGAATATGAGGTTCGTAATTAAGGCCTCTCTTTCTGGAAAACAAGACACACGTGCTTTTCTGTGCATTCAACCGGAACCCGTTTTCTTCAGCCCAATTGGAGTCTGTTCAAATAAAGCTGAACCTGCCGCTCACACATGGCCAGATTACAAAACTTATAACCAAGCTGGACGTCGTCGACATATGTGCAGTAAAAAATATTACGAGGGAAGGACAAGAGCAAAGAATTAATTTTGATAATAAAAAGTGTGCAGCTAAGTACACCTTGCGGCACTCTTGTTTCTTGGACAAATGCTTGGGAAAGAACGCTGCCCACTCGGACACGGAATGTCCGATTTTACAAGTAACTTTCGATTACGGTAAACATTTTGCCGCGCACTCCAAGGTGGGCCAGGTCTCCTAATATTCCAAAGCGCCTTGTTGTATGGTAGGACTTTTCGATATCGAGGAACATAGAGCAAAAATTTTGCTTGTGAACGAAAGCGTCTCGGATCTGCGCCTCGATACGGACAAGGTGGTTGGCGGTGGATCTACCCTCTCAAAACCGGCAATGAAATGGGTGGAGCAAATTGTTTGTAGAGTAAAGAAAACATTAGAATTCAATCAACCAAAGGAACAAGCAGGATTTCGAACAGGCTACTCAGCAATTGACCACATTCATACTATCAATCAGGTAGTAGAAAAATGCTCAGAGTATAAGCAACCACTATACATAGCCTTCATAGATTACGAGAAGGCGTTTGATTCAGTAGAAATATCAGTCGTCATGCAGACACTGCGGAATCAGGGCGTAGATGAAGTATATATAAACATTCTGGAAGAAATCTACAGGGGTTCAACTGCTACCATAGTGCTTCATAAAGAAAGCAACAGAATACCAATCAAGAAGGTTGTAAGGTAGGGGGAAACAATCTCCCCAATGCTATTTACCACGTGCTTACAGGAGGTTTTCAGAAGCCTAGAATGGGAAGAGTTAGGGATAAGAGTTAATGGAGAATACCTTAGTAACCTGCGCTTCGCCGATGACATTGCATTGCTGAGTAACTCAGGGGACGAATTGCAACTTATGATTACGGAGTTACACAAGGAGAGCAGAAAGGTGGGTCTTAAAATTAATCTGCAGAAAACGAAAGTAATGTACAACAACCTCGGAAAGGAGCAGCGCTTCGAGATAGGTAATAGTGCACTTGAAGTTGTAAAAGACTATGTCTACTTAGGGCAGGTAATAACCGCAGAGCCTAATCACGAGATCGAAGTAACTAGAAGAATAAGAATGGGGTGGAGCAGATTCGGCAAGCACTCTCAAATTATGACAGGTAGATTGCCACTATCCCTCAAGAGAAAGGTATATAACAGCTGTATCTTGCCGGTACTTAGCTACGGAGCAGAAACCTGGAGACTTACAAAGAGGGTTCAGCTTTAAATGAGGATGACGCAGCGAACAATGGAAAGAAAAATGGTAGGTGTAACCTTAAGAGACAACAAGAGAGCAGAGTGGATTAGGGGACAAACGGGGGTTAAGGATATAATAGTTGAAATAAAAAGAGGAAATGGACATGGGCCGGGCATGT